ACTGAAGGGGAAAAAGGCTTTGTGCCTTCAGGGGTCCACGGGGGGGAGGGGGAGAGATTGGGAGGGGGGGGGGGGGAGCGCCCACCGTCACCTACCCCCATTCCACCACGTGTGACTCGTAGTCCCAGTATTCGCGGGGCCTCTGGGTGTTGACCTCCGTGTAGACCCTCGCTCGACTCGGGACGGGGCCCGACATGCTGTCCCAGGGTGACGGTCACAACCTCTGAAAGAAGCAAGGAGATTAATCACCTGCACAAAGAAGGCAGGACACGGCTGCCCCCCCTCCCCGAAAAATAGATGGAATGGGCCGGCTGGGGGATTCTGGGAGCTGAAGTCCAACACCTGTTAAACCTTCTCAGATGGAGAAGCTGCACAGCAGAAGCCCCAGAAGGCACCTGGGGGCTCTTCAGCAGGGCTTCCTGGGAGTCCCACAGGAGGAACTGGGCTCTCCTGAGCACAGAGGCAGCTGCACAGGGGCCCAGGAAGCCCAACGTCCCCTGGGGATTGGGGGCTGCTTGGGAAGGGAAGGTTGGGGAGCAGAGCAGGACTTAATGGCCCAGAACAAGCATTGATACAGCAGTTGGGGGCAGCTTTCTGGGGCTTCAGCCTTTGGCTGCTCCCCGGATCTGCCTCCCTGGGAAGCCCCCTTAGTGCAGGGGTCCCCAATCTCTGGTCTGTAGACGGGCACCATGGTATGCCAACAACTGGGCCGCACAAACCATCAAAGCCCCATCCATGGGATGCAGGCAGCACACAATTCCAGCCCCAGCCCCCCCCCTCCCCCCCGGTCCTCTCTGTGGATCCGGTCGCTGGGGCCCAAAGTGTTTGGGGCCACCACTTTAGTGCACCGAGCCCCGAGTTTTCCAGGAAGGAGGGACGAAAGGACCCCTCCCTTCCAAGTTGTGCCCCATCCGGCCAAGCCTGGCAAAGGGAGGAGGGGTCTGCCCATCTCCTCCCTGGTCTCTCTCCATGGGGACTCCTCCTTAGAGGAGCCCACGCGAGGAATGCAGCACGATGTAGAAAAGATGTGGGGACTCTAGAAAGAGTGCAGAGAAGAGCAACAAAGAAGATTAGAGGACTGGAGACTAAAACATATGAAGGACGGTTGCAGGAACTGGGGATGTCTAGTTCAGCGTTTCTCAACCTTGGCAACTTGAAGATGTCCGGACTTCAACTCCCAGAATTCCCCAGCCAGCGAATGCTGGCTGGGGAATTCTGGGAGTT